GGGCCATTTTGCCCCCCCTAAGATCTCGAGAACCACGCAACATAGCGACAAGCGGTAAACGGCGTTGGATAGCCCCAACGGGGAACTACCTTGTGACCCAATTTTATTGACCTAGGTCAAACCGATGACGTCACAGGTCAGGTCAAAGGTCCAATTTTCACCGTTTACAGGCATTTCAAGAAATGCGTTGTAAAATCGAGTAAAATGCATTTCATTGAAAATCATCGATGGGGAAATGTTCTTCAAACACATATTTTGCTATTTGAGGTCACTGATACCAGGTCAGGTCACAGAGGTCAGGTCACGGGGGGTCACAATATGAAAGTGTCGTGTGATACATGTTTTATGGTCCATTTTACATGACAAATGCGATTATGTGGGTCAGGCAGCCTTTGGGGCCAGCTTAGGTCACGTTTTGGTCAAGGTCAGGTCAAGGTCAGGTCAAGGTCAGGTCAAATTAGGTCAAATTTCAAAGTTAATATTTTTGCATAAAATGGGCATCGAATCGATGCAGCTCGTCACGGGGAGTTCATTGGTGGTCTTTGTTTTGTCGTACGTGGTCTAGAATCGCTAAAAATTGAGTTCAAAAATTTGACGTCATCATTTTTGAACAGTGTTTTCGCTATAACTTGGCCAAAAAACGAGATATCGATCTGAAATTTGGTATGTATATAGAAGAGCGCTGGGACTATCACATTTATTCCGGTTTTTTCGAAATTCGGAACAATTTTGGATTTTTCAAAAGTTTTTCTAAAAAAAATCAATTTTTTGATTTTTTTTTTGGTCAAAAACCAACAATTTTGAAAATCCGAGATAGCAGTTTTGTAGCGCCGCTTTTTGTCTACTAGACCATATAAAGAACTTTGAAATTGCTTGATAACTGTAGATTTGGTGAGCGTTTCAAGATTGCATGTTTTTTGCTCATTTTTGCTCGAACATGACCTCAGTTTGACCTCAATAACTCCTGACCTAAGTTGACCTAAGACTTGAAATTTGGTGTGAAGGTGTCAAATTGATGGCCGGGAAGGTACTGAAAATTTGACGGCGCTGCGCGCCGCCGTTTTCTTGCTATTCAGGAAAAACCACAGGGGGGGCCAAAATGGCCCCCCCAACGGGGCGAACCGCGCCCTGATGGGGGGGCATTTTGGCCCCCCCCTGTGGTTTTTCTTAAATAGCGAGAAAACGGCGGCGCGCAGCGCCGCCAAATTTTGGGTACCTTATCGGGCATCAATTTGACACCTTCACACAAAATTGCAAGTCGCAGGTCACCTCAGGTCAGGAGTTATTGAGGTCAAACTGAGGTCATGTTCGAGCAAAAATGAGCAAAAAACATGACATCTTGAAACGCTCACCAATTCCACAGTTAACAAGCAATTTTAAAGTTCTTTATGTGGTTGTGTAGAGAAAACACAGCGCTACAAAACTGCAATCTCGAAATTTCGAAATTTTGAGATTTTGACCCTCAAAAAAAAATTGTTTTTTTTAGAAAAACTCAAAAAATTTCCATTTTTTCGAATTTCGAAAAAACCGGAATATATGTGATAGTCCCTGCACTCTTCGATATACATACAAAATTTTAGACCGATACCTCTTTTTTTTGGCCAAGTTATAGCGAAAAAACTGTTAAAAATTGATGACGTCAAATTTTTGAACTCAATTTTTAGCAATTGTATACCTTGTAGCGCAAAACGGAGACCACCATTGAACTCCCCGTGACGAGCTGCATCGAATCGATACCCATTTTATGCAAAAATATCAACTTTGAAATTTGACCTAATTTGACCTGACCTTGACCTGACCTTGACCTGACCTTGACCAAAACGTGACCTAAGCTGGCCCTAAAGTCTGTCTGACCCACATAATCGCATTTGTCATGTAAAATGGACCATAAAACATGTATCACACGACACTTTCATATTGTGACCCCCCAGTGACCTGACCTCTGTGACCTGACCTGGTATCAGTGACCTCAAATGACAAAATATGTGTTTGAAGAACATTTCTCCATCGATTATTTTGAATGAAATGCATTTTACTCGATTTTACAACGCATTTCTTGAAATGCCTGGAAACGGTGAAAATTCGACCTTTGACCTGACCTGTGACGTCATCGGTTTGACCGAGGTCAATGAAATTGGGTCACAAGGTAGTTCCCCGTTGGGGCTATCCAACACCGTTTACCGCTTGTCGCTATGTTGCGTGGTTCTCGAGATCTGAGGGGGGGGCCAAAATGCCCCCCCCCCCATCAGACCGCGTTGCTCGGCAGACCCCATCTGGGAGCGGGTTAAGAACAATCAGAACAATGAGAAACACGTCATTTTCCTTTACAACGAAATAAAATTCGTTGCCATTAGAAAACATATCTGATGATACAGTGATTATTGATTTTAATAATCAGGGCAAGCTCATTGTTCATGGCGACACAGATAACAGGAACATAACATATTAATCCGCGCATTTTACGCAGCTGACTATATCAGCAATCCTGAAACATTTTCCCGGCGGGATGTCACTGCAAAATCGACAGAACTGTTGGATCGGCCACATAATCCCGGGGATGACACCGAAGGCAAATTGAATGTCATAGTGATCCCCGAAGGTATTCGTCCATAATCCAAGCAATTAAAACGATGCAGTCGTAGAGTGACTGGTCAATGGTCATCTATATGAATTGTATGAAGAGGAAAACGAACAACCACGCACTTCACAGTATCATTGATGGGAGTAGCATAGCATAGTAGGTATTAGGAGAGAATGTCAACTTACTGACATCACTTGACATTAAAAGACACTTAGTCAATATTTTCCTTTTTCAAAAGATAAATAGATGATAGAAGATAAAATTTCAAAAGATGAAAATATGTAATAATATCCGCTAAATATCCGCTTCCTGATGTTAGTGATTTTATACTTGTGCATCAAATTAGTAGGTATGTTGTTTAGAACATACACAGAATGTGCAAGATTTGCTATTAGCCATGCGTGGATGTGTGGGCTGAATCGACCCCATGGATTGATTGCACATCGACCGGGTATTGACATAAGCCCCGCAGAAGCAACAAGAAAGCAACAAGCCATGGCACTCTGTTTTCTGTCCCCAGTTGCAGCCTGGACCATATCATTATTCTGTGCAGACCACTGTCTGCAATGCAATAGGCGTTCCCAAACTAACCAGTCTGCTACCAATTAGTTTGATGAAAGAAATTTGGAAGGAAAATCACTCTTTATAAGCAAGCAGAAATAAAAAGAATTACGAAAAAATAACGGAACTGAATAATAGTGTGGAATTAAAAAAATAACTTAACACTAAATTCCTACCATTAACAATAATAAATTACAAATGCATATAAACGTTAAGATGAGCTCCAACATAAACTTTTTTTTGGTGCTGATGAAATATTTCTATTACATACCTACCACATGAACAAAAATTCGAATGAACAAATACCTAAGAGTTGATATTCTAAACGCATCGCAATTGGAATAATTTGCCTGCTAAATGTCTTCCTTCCAGAAGTTCGGCAATATGTAGAAACTTAAAGGGACTATCCCACCTTCTAAAATGTTGTTAAAACCAGTTAAATTGTGCCCGACTTTATAGATTGGATGACCAGGAACACGGTTCTGGCATTTATTTTTCATTAAACATCTTAGGCTTCCCATATTCCAAACACAAACTTTCAAATATGTGACGTCACAGCCCAAAATTACCTCCTTCCCCAGGCCACATTACTGTCATAAAGCTGATTCTTTTTACTCTGTAGGCACCACAACAAAGTTCAGACCAAGTTTTAAGCGATTTTTCAGCAAACAAACACATTTAAATCAGAATGACTAAACGAGGTGACGTCACACTAACGGTCGCTCCATGTTGAAGATAGGGCCTTGTACAAGGCCCATTTTCAAGAGAAGGGAACGAATTTTTTCAACACCAAGAGGCCGCGGGGGTTGCAACCTAGATAGATAGTGGTTTCTGAACCTCGCCGCAAACTTGGCTATCTCAACTCAAACCCCATGTTAAAGGTGGGATAGTCCCTTTAAGTCTAAAAAACTGAAAACTAAAGAAATGTAAGCCTAATGTAATGTAAGTTATATATCGCAAAGCGCGCTTGGCGATATATCGACTTTTCCATTCGAGTGGAGTTGCTTGCAGTGTAGTGGCTGGAGGCATGAAAAATAGCGACGAATCTCACGCTAGTCCTGCAGTGTCACAAGGCACCTTGCCGCCGATCGCTCCGCACCATACCCAGACCTCCTTCCGATCCGACTGTGAGGGACTGATGCAGCCGGCGCAGCCCACCGGTTTTACACCACTACACACGAGAGTCCTCAGCAGTGGGCGGCCCCAGTCACTCGGCGCCGGCACAAAGGTTTAGCAGCGCAGGTCAACAAAAAGACACGGCGTTTTTCGTTCGGTGCGCGGCTGCCGTTTCATCTCGGCAGCTCGGCGGTGGAGTCTCGACGCGCTGAGCTCTGAATCAGCTGCTGTCTCCGGCGTTTGGAGCGGGCCGCCGCGGCTCCGTCAGCTCCCGCTGCCGGAGGGCTGCAGAGTTGACGAGATGCCCGATCACATCCCGGGGTCAGATGCAGACTAGGCACACCGCCGCCCAATGCTCGAGGATCGCGTGCTCAGAAGACTGCGGACGGACGGGCGAGGTCGATAGGAGACGAAATTCAGCTGCCGAAACTCAGAAGTAATAAAACGAGGAGATTTTCAGAAATGTCAATAGTCAAACGCTGCTCTTGGTAAAAAGTAAAGTGTAATCCGTTGAAAAGGAATCGTCAAGAAGTTGCTTAGCCATTAACAAATGCATATGCTAGATTGATAACACCCTACCAATCAGAAATAAAGAGGGTACCACTTAAACATTTCTCAGGTTGATCGCTAAGTTCCTTACACTTGATACATCCGTGAACGATCGAATATTCAGACAAATAACCGCCGCCGACCCCTCGCCGTTTCGTGCCGCACCCCTGACGATGATTTCCCTGTTCTTCAGACGGAAACCGGCTGCGCCACTGGGCTCACGGCGGCTCCCTGTTCGACGGCCCGTCCGAGCACGCGCACTCGCACACTCAGCGGAGCACCTCAGCGAACGGTACAGAGACGAACACGACTGCGCAGCTGGGCACGCCAGCGTTCCTGCACTGCCGCCAGCCGGCGTCAGCACAGACCGCCGACGGCAGACCCACAGAGGTGAGAGAGGGGTGGAGGGACAGGTGGGAGGTCACAACCGGCACAGACCGCCGACGGAAGGCCCACAGAGGTGAGAGAGGGGTGGAGGGACAGGAAGGAGGTCACGAACAACACACAATGCCGACAGCAGGTGCAGGCCCACAGAGGTGAGAAGCACGGCACATCGAGAAGAACTGTGAGGGCACAACGGTAGACGTGAAATTTACAGAGGTTTAGGTGATAAGAAACATCAAAAGGCCCAGTGTAAACATAAATTTACGTTATATCTACAGCGGAAAGTGTGAAGAGCGTATTGGATATGAAGACAAAAGTAAGGATGGCATTACCAGCAGTGCGTAAGTGCATGGTCAATAAGTCATATTTCCATCCGTGTGCTTCATCGGCACATAAATCCCAACACTTCTTCTCCAGAGCCGGCGCGTGGGCGTGTGACTGGTGCCCCGCAGCCTCCCCCGGGGTCCTATTGTCCCAGCTCAGAAATATGGCCACGACTCCCCTGGCAACCGCCTCTAAATATCAGCACTGTCTCTGAAACCGGCCGCTGAAAGGAGGCGGCGCTGCGGCTGTGTTCCCATATCGGCCCCATCCCGCTGACACTGTGGGACGTGACGTCAGGAGGGGGCCGGGGGCGGGCGGGCCCCGCCGACCCATACGGCCCACATATCACTCAGTCACCACCATGAGCCGGGCCGTAGCACCCATCCAGCGCCCGGCACGACACTGCCGAGAGCACACATCAACTCGGCAGTCGGACTTCGGAGCGTCGTGGCGATACCAAGCAGCAGCAGATAGTTTTATGAGCGAAGCCAGAGATTCCTCACTGCGTTATTGTTTTTATTTGCAAGGTTTTATACGGCTTCCCCTCGCATTTGTCTATTGTGTCAGTCCTGCTCTCTCTCCCTCCCTCCCTCCCTCCCTCTCTCTCTCTCTCTCTCTCTCTCTCTCTCTCTCTCACACACTCACTCACTCACTCACTCACTCACTCACTCTCTCTCTCTCTCCCTCCCTCCCTCTCTCTCTCTCTCTCTCTCTCTCTCTCTCTCTCTCTCTCTCTCTCTCTCCCCTTCTCTCGCCGTCTCTTTCTTCCCAGCCCCCGACGCTCTGCTTTGTTTTGAATATCCTTTCATTCCGAACTCTTCCCTGACCCGCTCTCCATACCTCCGTATCGCTCCCTTCCAACCGCGCTGCTATAAATGACGGTGAGCTGCCGTGCTGCCACGATCTCCGACAGAATCTCCGGTGAATTGGATGCCTTGTGGGGCCTGTCCCGGTAACCGGTGGTTTGCTGGGGTGTATTTGTTAGCGCCACCATCCATCAGCGCCGGCCGGCTGCGGCGGCTATTTTCGGCGGTGCTGGCCGGCCGGGTGGCCGGTGACATATCGCTCCAATAGCCGGCTAGTCACAGCCGGTTATATTAGAGGACCGGTGACGGACCGTCCCGGGCCCGAGCCCGACCCCGTCCCCGTCCCTCCCGAGCCCGACCGCCTGTCCCCGCTCCTCCGAGTCAGAGTACCTCCCTCCGTCCCCCCGACTCTCCCCGTCCCGCAGCTCCATCAGCTTCACCATCAGAGCCCCCCTAATTCCGATACACCTCCCTCCGTCCCCCCGACTCTCTCCCGTCCCGTAGCTCCACCAGCTCCACCACCGAATCTCCTCTAACTCCAATGGCCCTTACCCACTTCTTCCCGTGCTGTCCAATCTTCCGTGCTGTCCAGTGCTCCCTCCATACTTCCCCTCACATACAGGGTGTCCCAAAAGTAAGGTCATGATTTAAAACTTAAATATCTCGAGAAGTAAGAGTCCGAATCACTTCCAATTTTAACACGTGCAAGGTACATCCATAAAATTATTTTCTTGCATGCTTAAACCATTTTTGATCATAACTACACCGAGCAGTAGGCATAAAACTGAGAAGGTCGAAATTCAACTCTTAGAGAGGGTCCGTCATTAAAACAAAGGGTAAATACCGCCCAGTTTTCGGCCCTAAGCAGACCCTATCAGCTCGCCCTATCTCTGAACTCATGCATAGTTTCGCCTCAACCGGTGAAACGTCAGAAAAAAGGTATAATGTACGCACAGGGCATGTATACTTAGCCACCTGTGCTTCGAGGTCCTGAGGACGACAGCGGGAATCGGGTGAAAATAAATCAAGAGAGGTGGCCGAGAGTCCTCCCAGTGGTTCTTCCGCTCGTCGCAACGCAGCTGTGCCGACACCATCAACCAGCAGTGGTTTCAGCAGGATGGAGACTATGCTTGCACCGTCCTGAAGATCATGCATTGTCTCCGAAAGTGGATGTGAGATCGCGTAATTTTCAGTCAGGGCAACGCCATTGAATGGCCTCCGCGGTCACCTGACGTTACACCTTCATATTTTTATTCTCTGGGTACACAACGGAAAAGTTGTCTTTTAGGACAACCCAACGAGCCGGGAAGAACTAAAGGATGATCCCTCCGAGCAAACATAAGCGGCATCTCACCAGAGAATAGCTCCAGAATAGTGGAGGAAGTAAAACGCAGTCTATTCGTGCACGCGGCCCGAAATGGTAGCCATGTAGCAAAGTAGCAAATGTGGGGCTACGAGCCAATGTATTGACTCATATGTATATCAGAATATAATTTTATAAAATGCTCTTTCATATGATGTCCTATTTATTTCTATCCATCGCGTATTTTTGGCGGTGTGGCCAAAACAAATGATGACCTTACTTTTGGGACACCCGGTACAGTGTCCGTCCAGTGTCCAAAGTCCCTTCCTCCATCCCTCCCCTCGTTGTCAAGGCCTCTGCCGGCCCCAGAAATCGAAACTAACATAATCCGAGGTCGGAGTCATGTCAGCTGATAAGTCTTCACTGAATGAGGTTCAGCTGTGAGTCTGCCTTCCAGACATCTCGGCACTTGACTGAATGAGGCAAACAAATTTCCTGAATGAGGCCGGGGTATTTATGGGCTGAGTGACGTGGAGATGTAAACTGAATGAGGCCTGGGAAATAAGCTGAATGGCATTGGGGGTCTGAGCTAATTATGTGAAGATATCGACAAATCACTCTTCTATTTCAATATAAATTTCCGAGTAGTTTATCAAATACTGTTTTCTGTTTTCTGCTCTACTGTTTTTTTCTGCTCTACTGTTTTCTGCTCCATGGGCTGCTCTCACTCGCTTTCTTTGTACCTGTTCAAATATACCACCGGTGGGAACCGGAATGAAAAAAATGCGTGCTAACTATACAAGGACCTTATGTGATATATGAAGTTGACGAGACCCGGACCATTGAGTGAGGCTGATGTATGAACTAAAGGAGTCCGACATATAAGCTGAAATGTGACACATTCGACGAATGGCTTGGGAATGACATCTCAAATGACTTAATCAAGGATATGAATAAAATGGCTGAAGCGAAGAATAAATAAACTTTAGAGTGAAAGAAATTTGTATATCAGCCGCTAGAAGTTCACTATTACTAGTCCACTGTGTCCCACTGTCGGTTTGTCGGCCTGTCTGTCTGTCTGTCTGTCTGTCTGCCTGTCTGCCTGCCTTCCCCTCCCTACAAGGGGTCTTGCATAGCGCCCCGCGGAGTCCGTCTGTTTTTGTATTGCAGCGGCAAAGTTCTCCCTATCTGGCATCGACCGGCCCGGTTTATTGGGCCTGCTGTATTGATTTATGGCTGACCTGCTGCTCGCCAACTGACCTCTCTGACCCCTGGCAATCTATCGACGGTCTGACCCTGTCATGGGCAAACTGACCTCTAGCGGTCTCGAATGAAAAATGGCCGAACCAAAACACTGGCAACATTTAGGATTGGCCTTTACTTACCTATGCAACACTCTCACCTTTTGTCTTACATCAGTTGATAACTGACTTAGCCTGGAGAAGCCATATACACCGTCTTCAGCGCCCTACCACCCGTCACAAATGCAAAGTATTATTAAAACAATCACTGAACTGTGACGAAAACTGACACTTTGAATGGCAGTACTGTTTGAAAAGGGCTCTGGCTATGACAGATGATAATTGATAATTTCACGAGCGATTAGTGGCTTCGTTCTGCTGAGCCTCTGGATACTTGTGACGCCTTCAAGTTTACGGATGCCGACTTACTAAGCGTGACGGTGGGTTCGGGCGCACACGAATGGCCCATTTGTGCTCCGACCGGGAGTGGGGATCCCAGCGCCTCCTGAGACCGCTGTGCTCTGTGCAGTAAACACAGGAGGGGAAATGGGTAAAAGGAGGCGCCTGGTCGAAAGCTCACATCAAACAGAAATTCCGGTTACTTGGGGATATTTCATCAGTGTTTTCGTAAAGTTCAACATGAAATATAATAGGTATGTACCAGGAAACTTGTTGCCTGTAATGTTGTGGCATACGAGAAGAGCTGCAATATTTCCACCGCTTTCATAAGCATGTATAGTCATGTTTAAACTTTATTCTTGTTCTTACAGTACATAAAGAAAACAAATCAACAGCACAATATCTTAGTATGGGTAATGGGTATGTGCCACACCTAGACGCACAGAACATGAAGCAGCGTGACAACTGGTACCCTCCCCCCTCCCCCCTCCGGCAGGTATCGTGGCTGCGGCGCCGCGACTGGCACCTGCTCACCACTGGGAAGACGGTGTTCACCAGCGACGAGCGGTTCCAGATCTACCACGTTAAGGCGGACAACGACTGGGTGCTCAAGATCAGCTTCGCGCAACTGCGCGACGAGGGCCTGTACGAGTGTCAGGTCAGTGGCCGGCGCGGTCGATAGGCATTGGGGGCCGTCTGTCGCCGATCCGTCTGTCTGCTACTGATGGTCAGGAAGGAAATAGTTCAGTCCCGTTAGTTTATGTGTGTGACGAAGGGGGCGGTCAATTAACAGGCAGCGGTCGCATTTGGTCTTCAATGAAACACAGATGCAAGCCATTTCTTAAAAATACCACTACCCAGCACTAAAATTCCTCTGCATATGGGCGATACAGTGCCATCCTACATAGGGGTGGCACCAAGCACCAACAAGGCGCCGCCGCACCGCCCTGAACGGTGCGTGACCAGCACCATTTGCGGCATGTTTGGCGGCCGACCTGCGGTCTGCCCGGGAATCAAACCATTAGCGGACATTGTCGCCAATAAAAAGTCAATTAGCCTGTCTGACACGTGTCCACATATGCAGTTTGGCTGATTATCTGTCATTTTTAGTTGCGCATCAGCCGTTGATTATGCATAGTTTATGCTCTAATACGACTACTGAAGCTGATCAATATAACCATCGAGCAAATAAGGTAGAGTTTTTGCAGGTAGAATGCTACCGTTGATGTTGGTCCGTCTAGCGTAATTGGGATTAACGTACTGCAACGAATTACATCTATCGCACAAACAAACCTAGAATGAAGTACCTACTTGATCATTTCACCTTTGCTACCCATGTGGTCACACCGGTCCCGTAGCTCAGTTGGTAGAGCGTTGGACTCCGCGTGGTGAGAGCACGCCTTCCCGGTTATAACAGTCCGCCGTCCGGGTTCGAAGCGCGACGGGCGCTTGATGGGCCTCCTGACAGGTATGGTTGCGCTTGGTGGCAGGCCGTAGCCAGGCGAAGTCAGTGAGGGGACCGGCCGAACGCGGCTATGCGCGCACGTTAAAGGTAGTGTGCCAGCTTTCCTGGACCGTATGGAGTTAATGGCCCAGATAAGGAGAACCGGATTTTTAGAACTTATCCATACCTTCAAAGCTCATGGAAACGTCTTAAATTCTTCAAATTTTGAGTACCCCAGTGCGAAATTCGCCCCGACGGGTTGTCGGTCGTACCCCAACCACATTTCACACCACTATGAACAATAAATGCACGCACTGAAATCGCTATTACCGATAGGCTCATCCAATCAAGTTTCGATAAACCCGTTCATCATCATCTCCTGCGGTTTCGAACACGCCTGTTAGGTGGTGCGGTAGACCGCGCCCAAAGCCAGGGCCCCGGTAACGTGAGGTAGCCGAGTCGGGGCAGCGTGCGCTGACCCAAGCCGGGGCCGCGCGTCCTCCCGGTGTCATGTGATATAGCCCGGGGCTGCCCGGGGATGCGGAAGACCGCGCCCAAAGCCGCGGCCCCGGCTTGGGTCAGCGCACGCTGCCCCGACTCGGCTACCTCACGTTACCAGGGCCCTGGCTTTGGGCGCGGTCTACTCATACTTTGTGGTGCGGTGGTGGTGCGTCGGGCCGCGCGCTCTGACTTCGGCCAAGAAAAATGCGTCAGCTGATCATTGTCATTTCTGCCACTTTCATGTGGTGAGATGGGGTCATAACTTTAGAGACGGCTCAGACGGCTGTTTCATATCAATTATTTTACATAAAATAATATTCCAAACCATAAATTAATGTTTGACAGCCAAATTAAAGAAACAATACCAATACAGGCTTCCAGTTTAAATTCGACGTTGTGTTGTCTACGATTAGACAGCTGATAACTCATTCCCGTACGTCGTAACTCTATAATGACCTTTGCTTATTGTCACATGTGCGCCGCATTCGCGATTGTTGCCGACGCCTGTTTGCAGGTGAGCCCACTACAGTTGTTATACATATCGAAAAACCGATAAACTTTTAGGCGAAAAAAAAACACTATTTTAGGCCCATTTTTGATTTTCTTTGCGATATTAGGTAAAAACAGAAGCTTCTTATCCTAGGAAAAATAAAATGGGAAATCATTTGAAGGTGGCACACTACCTTTAAACTTTGGACTCTAAATTCTGCCATAGAACTGGGACTGCGCGATCGGAGGGTAGAGGGCAGTGTTAACGCAACAAGCTTCGCTTAGCGGTGGCTCTGTCCTTGTGAATCCTTCCTATCAAAAGGTTCGGACTAAATTTCTTTAAAAAAAAAACAACGGCTAGAAGAGGCACAACAACTGTTTTCGACACGATGTACAAATCATGCGCTTTCACTGGCATGGTGCGAGTGGGAAAAGCCATTGGTATGCATCGAAAATGTACCTACTTATTTACTAAGCGTTTGAACTAGTAGCACACCTATGAGGCCATACCTACTCCTTGGACCCAGTCATAAAATGTATTCAACCTCTCAGGAAGCCAAGTCCAATAAATGTTTTATTTTCCAAAGTATGCATGTAGCTCCCAAGGCGTCAGTAACGAGAACATCCTAATATGCCACCAGTCTCTGTATGAGAAACAAGTGTGCTGCCTCTGCCATACCCTGGCATTTTGCCCAATAACGTTCCACGACAAAGTTCCGTGGGCGACGCGCCATCATCCCCGCTACCGAATCGCCGCTATCCAGTCTTGTACCAAAACCCTACCACACCAACACAGCCACCCTGAGACTGTGGCACGACTCGACCGTCAAAAACAGCAACACATTTTCTGGCCTCTTCACAACAGCCGCCGCTCCTGTGTGCTCTCAAGCCCATCGGCGCAGTTTTCTGTGTGTGCGCAGCACTTGCAAGTGTCGCTCGTGCGTTCCAGCCGTCAAAAGCAGCAGTCAAGTGTCACGCTGGTGGGACGGCCGGCTGACAGCAGGCCGGCCCGCGGTGTCAACTGGTCACCACTCGAGTGCGATCGAGCCCGACAGTTGCTGGAACTCTGCGTCAGCAGCGGGGGCGTCTGTCCCGAGCTGAGAGGGGGACGGGGTAACCCGCCGCCTTCAGCAGACGTCGACTGGTGACAAATGGGTCGATATGGCCGTGTGGAGGGCGCACCTCGCCCGGAATCAATGGACGGCGGCGGCTCGCGTGAGGTTGTCGCCGTCCGTGTATGCACAGCGCCACCGGCCGGCCGGCTCGGCCGCGTGTTCGGGGCGCGTGCCCGCCGTCAGCGCGTGACGCCGCAGCCCGCCCCCGGGCCGCCGGCACACCGTATGATTGGAGGTGTAGGAATGTAGCGGCTCGTAGTCGGGTGGGTGGGTCACTGTGCACACACCCAGCTGCAGTAATAAGAGTGACCCTGACCTGTGGCCGGCAGTTGCAATTGGTGCTCAGTAAACCACTTGTTCTTCCGTATCGGTAGTGATTCTGTGATTACCGTACTGACTTATTTCCGTTCTTTTGTCGGCAGATTCCTACGGACAAGGGGAAGCTGTCGTACTTCACGCGTCTGCGCGTGGTGCAGCCCGTGGCGACGATCGAGGGCACCGGGCTGTACCACGTGGAGCGAGGCACGTCCATCAGTCTCAGCTGCGTCATCAGAGAGGTACGCAGCCGCCCGCTGAGTGTGTGTGTGTGTGTGGGGGGGGAGGGGGGCCTGGTGATCGACCAACTCGCCCGGGGATTTACCGGAACGGAGTTCAATTCCGTTACACCGTAAAAACCCTGTCGCCGGTGGGGGCCGCCGTCCGGCCCCGGTCTGATGTCGCGCTGGCACGCCCCCCTGTCCGCTCCGTTTCCCGTTAGCAGCAGCTATGGGCCGTCAGCGGACGGGCGGGCCGATGCCGGGACGCTCCGTCCCTGCCGTGTCTGTTGACGATCGGTCCAGCCTCGCAACGAGCGCGGCCGCCGCCGGGGCCGGAATTTCAATTGGCCCACTTGGCCGCCCGTATATAAAGGTGGCCAGCCCGTTCTGAGTACATCCGCTATAGTGATTCGCGCAGCCTGTTAAGCTCCATCAAGGCTCGTCCACGTGGTTTTTATCGCGCTGGTGCCCTCTGTATTGCAGGCACTCACTCCACCGACGTTCGTGCATTGGCACCATAACGACAAGGTCCTGAATCCGTACAACCTGCGCAGTGATATTCAGGTGAGGAAGGCACACTGTCGAGCGGTAACGACTTCGATGTGATCGACCTTTAGATGTTCCTTAGCACCGATGTCCTGTCATTGACCGCCAGTGTAAGTGTCACACAGGCCACTCGCAGTCGTATCCCCTTACCCACGAAGTCATTTGAACGGGCGTATGTATTGTGGAGGGACGTGATTCTGCAATATAACAAGGAACGGGTTTGTAATACGGTGTGACGCCAACAGCTGGTTATTAGCCACTTATGTCAATCCACCTGTGTGCTGCGTGATTGTGTAGCGTTCACTGGCGTCTTGATGGTGTGTTTAGTGTCAGTCTGTCACCAGTTTGTGGGTTGATCGGGAACCGTAGTGTGTAACCTCCTCGGTCTCACCCTATAGGTCAGTACCTATGTTACCTGCCTGCAATCACTGATTTGTATGACAGACTGTTACTGACTCGTCTGTCAGACTGGTATCGATGTATGTAAACATCGGACACCGTCTGTTACCGACCTCTATGACAGTCTGCCGGCAGCATGTTTGTGTGAAAGTCTGTCACAAAGTGGTATAATCTGTCACCCATGTGTACTGTTCTGCCACTACACCGACCTATACGACAGCCTGTGACCCATTGTGTACCATTTTGTCACCATTTTGTATGACAGTCTGTCACCCATGTTGCACCATTCTGTCACCCATACCGTTCTGTCACCCGCGCCGTACAGTCTGTGTATGACAGTCTGCCACCCATGTGTACCGTTCTGTCACCCGCGCTGTGTGACAGTCTGTCACCCATGTGTGAACCACTTAGTCATCGGCCCGTATGGCAGTCTGTCACCCATGTGTACCATTCTGTCACCCGCACCGTTCTGTCACCCGCGCCGTATGACAGTCTGTGATCCATGTGTGAACCACTTAGTCATCGGCCCGTATGGCAGTCTGTCACCCATGTGTACCATTCTGTCACCCGCACCGTTCTGTCACCCGCGCCGTATGACAGTCTGTGATCCATGTGTGAACCACTTTGTCATCGGCCCGTATGGCAGTCTGCCACCCATGTGTACCATTCTGTCACCCGCGCCGTATGACAGTCAGTCGCCCGCACCGTTCTGTCACCCGCGCCGTATGACGGCCAGTCCGCCAGCGGTCGGTATCGGCCTCCGACCGTGCCGGACGCCTCGGTCTCTGTCAGAACTGTGTGCTCGGCCGCCGGCGAGCCGCACACGACCGTGTAATGACCTCGATGATAGATCGTGAGCGTCGCCATCCCCACCGGCCGCCATCGACCTGGGTCGGCAGCGACGGGCGGTCATAGGACGGGTCACCGATGGAGGGCAGGTCAACTGCGGCGGGTCACCAACGGAGGGGGCAGGTCACCTGCGGCGGGTCACCGACGGGGAGGGCAGGTCACCAACGGAAGGCTGATCGCCAACTGAGGGTTCAGAGACAGCGGGTCATCGACGACAGATCACCAATGTAGAGCGGTGCAACGCCCACTGAACGCCTATAATATCATAGACCAACCGACTTAAACTAACCCGACGTCTGCTGTGTGCGACGTCATCACTGCAAGTGCATATCATTATAAACGGTGGAGAGATAGAAGGGAAGGATATAGAATTGCGCGGTACTTGCTGAGATGGAAGGGAGAGGAAGGGAGGAGAGAGAGAGAAACAGAGAATGGGAGAGATAGAGAAAGAAATAGAGAGAGGGGGATGGAAGAGAGGGAGAGTAGATAGGGAGAGTAGATAGGGAGAGGAGAAAGTCGTGCCTGGACTCGTAAGGACCCGCTCCAACACAGTGAATGTCACGCGGAATACCAGAGTGTGACTATATACATGTGTACATCTGAGTAGGAGCCGCTAGCCGAATGGCAAGCAGCTACCTGGCGGGCCGGCGGAATGGAGAGGGCCGGCTACCAGGAATGCCACACCGAAGACCAATGATGGGGCCAAAGTTTGGAGAGGATGGCGCCGTTGGCCGCCAGAGTGGCCATGAAACATGCACTGAGCCCACCACGACGAGAGCGGATGGCTTGAGTTTAATGGCGAGCCTCTCGATGATCGTATTGGATAGGCAAGTACCACAGTCGAGATGCCGTTGTCAATTCGAGACCGGACGGCTGCTCAGTGTACTGTGCAACAGTTGACATTTCTAGAGGGCCGTGCTCTGGCTTTATTGGCAAGCAGCAGTTCTCGACAGGATAAGAAGGACTTCATTGTTGTCCGTATTATTCTTCCTCGACAAAATTTACCAATCCAAATGAAACAAAATAATGAAATCCTTTCGAGTCGGGCTCTCAAAAGTCGGAGCGTTCTCCCTCGTCAGTCTCCTGGGCGGAAAAGTATCAGTTTCGGGGCGTTCATCTCCGTGGCGGCAGCTATTGTACATATATCTGTTACAGTTGGTATGGGAAATCCGTTAGTTTGCAACGAAACTAGTTCCGTTGCAAACTAACTGACCGTCCAGTTAGTTTGCAAACTAACTAGTTCCGTTGCAAACTAACTGACCGTCCAGTTAGTTTGCAAACTAACTAGTTAGGATGCAAACTACCTAGGTACGTTGCAAACTACCTAGTTACTTTGCAACGGAACTAGGTGTGTTGCAACGGAACTAGTTGTAATGCGAAATCGACGAGGCAGTGGGGCATTCCACGACAAATCGACAAATAAAAAATTAAATTTGCACCCTCGTCCCTCATATATTATTCTTCGTTGAGAAGTGGTCTAAAGCCTGAAACAGACTCTTTCCGCAGTCAGGAAATCGCATGCGAGAGCCTATTCAAATACATGGAAGCACGCTCGCATCAATCGCACGCACCTCCCGCAAGCGATTGATGCGAGACGAATTATAATGCATTTTAATAGGCTCTCGCATGCGATTTCCTGAACGCGGAAAGAGTCTGTTTCAGCCTTTATGGGTTGTGATGGGCGGGGAAGCCAGCTGTGGCAAGGATTTTTTTCTTCGAACAACGGTTTCCGAGATATAGCCTCGGGCAATTCCTGGAGGTCGCGCTGCAGCCCTATGTTTGGCGGCCTATAACTCAGAAACTGTTGGCTTTCTACGATAAAAACTTTATATGGTTCAACTCACAATCAACCAACAAACACTTTGGCTCTCTCGGATTTTCAATTTTTGAAACTTTTGATCACGTGACCTTTTGACCTATTTTTCGAAGTGACCTTGATATTTTCCCCACTGAAAGTTGCAATTTTGTCTGATGACGATTAAAGCCTTATCAATTGCCATTCATATGCGATAATAAAAAAGTGGTTATCGCCCTGCGTTGACCTCAGGTCAGGTCATTTTTATAACCTGTCCATTATTACGAGCGGGAGCGACAGCGAGATCTCGAGAATAAAGCAAGATAGCGACAAGCGGTAAACGGTAAAGGGTACACACGGATAAGGTCTATAATTTTAACTGAGGTCATTTTCAGGTCAGGTCAAAGATGACGTCACAGGAGCAAAAAGGAAGTCAAAATAGCGGCACTACATATATATGAAGTTTTTCTCGAATAGCTTTAAGGTATCCCAGCTAGGAACAAACTAATAGCACCATCGTGATCCTCTCGTCGATCCGCATCGAAACATATGTATGTTGACCTCGACAGGTCGAAAGGTCAAAAGTTGACCTAAGGTCACGTGACCTAAGGTTCCATTTGTCCCGTGGTCCGGGGTAAGCGTGCGCTCAAGAATCTGTCTCACCGGCCGACTCCTACTGCGACTTGCCTAGCCAGTGACCTAGCGGTGCCGGGTCATTCGGTAACAGCCAATGATCAAAGGGCAGGTTGCGTCACAGACTGATCGTTTGTGGAGGCAGGAGCTCGCGGCGGCGCGTTTCTGGAATATTCCCAAATCGGTAGCAGAACCTTTACCTTCAGCTTATGTCTTCCCATGTATGGTGATCACTAGCGGTTCTTCCAGAAAGATGGTCTTAAACGTTGCGGGAGACATAATCCCAAAAAGCTTTTCCTAATTCCAAAAACCTTTCGGATTTTGATTCCAATCCTTACACACGGCTGTGCAGTCTAAAACAAGTATTTGATTACCAGTATAACGCCTTTTGGGGCGACTAACGGAGCGAGCGAGGGGGTTACTCTTGCACGTGCGAAATTTTGAGGGGGTACCTCCAACTGACTTGTGCACGGCACCCTACTGACCGGTTTCTAGCGATGTGCCAAATTTGAGCACAATCGGCCCAGCCGTTCTCGAGATCTGTGAGCGGCACCCTGCACGTGCGCACGTGCAAAATGGGTCCCAACTGACTTGTGCACGGCACCCTACTAACTGGTCCCTAACCCTGTACCAAATTTGAGGGCCATCGGTCCAGCCGTTCTCGAGATCTGGAAACGACCCCTGCACGTGCGCACGTGCAGCAGCACCCCAACTCTGGCACATGTATATGCAGTGCCTAGTGGGTGCCTATCTACATGCCAACTTTCAGCGCAATCGGCCAAGTAGTTACCGAGATATTGCAACAATTACAAAACTGACACCTCTTCGTTTTGCACGTGGCACGTGCATAAGGGGTCACCCACATGCATCGGGAATAGTCCAATACTTGGTAGAAGGAAAGAAGCTACCCTACAAAAATTACCGCGTGTAAATCGGTCAAGTGGTTGCTGAGATAGAAGCCTCGCAAAAGCGTCCGCACGGCCGGCCGGCCGGCCGCTCATACTCAGAAATTTCCGTTAATCTAAGGAAAGACTTCGCTCGCTTCGCTCGCTCCGTAATAAAAGTTGTTCAGTTTTCGTTTCATTCTCATAATAAGTAAATATTTGTCGCTTTCGGGCGCTGCGTGGATGGCGGAGCGATTTCGCCCCCCCCCCCCCCTCTGGCGTAACGTTATGTAGACAACCGTTGTTAAAATGTACATAAAAGTTGAATATAACCGACAAATAGAGCCACTGCCTCGTCGATTTCGCATTACAACTAGTTCCGTTGCAAAGTAACTAGGTAGTTTGCAACGTACCTAGGTAGTTTGCATCCTAACTAGTTAGTTTGCAAACTAACTGGACGGTCAGTTAGTTTGCAACGGAACTAGTTTCGTTGCAAACTACCTGGCCGGTCAGGTAGTTTGCAACGAAACTAGTTGCGTTGCAAACTAACGGATTTCGTATACTTGTTACAGTTAGTATGCGAAATCCGTTAGTTTGCAACGCAACTAGTTTCGTTGCAAACTACCTGACCGGCCAGGTAGTTTGCAACGAAACTAGTTCCGTTGCAAACTAACTGACCGTCCAGTTAGTTTGCAAACTAACTAGTTAGGATGCAAACTACCTAGGTACGTTGCAAACTACCTAGTTACTTTGCAACGGAACTAGTTGTAATGCGAAATCGACGAGGCAGTGGCTCTATTTGTCGGTTATATTCATCTTTTATGTAAATTTCAACAACGGTTGTTAAAAAAAGCTGTGTTTTCTTGACGGGTCACACTAGACATGCGAGTAGGTCGGGCATGGTCACATTTATGGATGAAACAGTGAATAACCAGATTCGACTACATAATGTGACGATCACTGGCGGATCCAGAGCAGGGCAGTTCCGGGGGGCATTTTGCGATTTCACCAGTCACCGCCGCCGCACAGAACAGAACTGAACTGTATTGTCCCATTGTCCCGTGTTCCGGGGTAAGCGTGCGATCAAGAATCTGTCTCACCGGCCGACTCCTACTTGACTCGCCTAGCCAGGTGACCTAGCGGTGCCGGGCCATTCGGTAACGGCGCAATGATCAAAGGGCAGGTCGCGTCACAGACTGATCGGTTGTGGAGGTAGGAGCTCGTCAGCGGCCTGGTTCTTGAATATTCCGAAATCGGCAGCAGAACCTTTACTTTCCGCTTATGTTACGCGTTTATGGTGATCACTGGCGGTTCCAGAAAGATGGTCTTAACCCGCGCATGACTGATATATTTTCCATAACGCGAGTGACTGAGGGGGGGGGGCTCTCCAGATACCCCCCTCTCCTATCTCCGAAATCACTGGGCCGATCGTCAAACTTCAAACGGTGTCTGATAGCCCTGGAAAAACTGTCGAAGGAAACCTATTTTCATTGACCTCGAGGTCACCGATGACGTCACAGGTTGGGTCAAAATAAAAATTATCGGCATTTTTTGCTTGTTCACAAGTTAGGCTCTGGCCGCCGACTGACAAGTTCGATCAGGCTGATTTTTGGTTTACGCACTCCTTGATATATGCCTTAGATACCCTGAGGGTACCAAACTTTTACTTCGATTTTTTTTAAGGTCAAGGCCAGGTCATCCTAGGTCACGAAAATTTTATATCATGTATCGGTCACGTGACGCATGTTTTATGGTCCATTTTACATGTAGATTTCGAAAATAATGTCGTATGTGTCATTTGAGGTCATTTTCAGCTGAATGTACCGGAGGTCAGGTCAATTTCAGGTAAAAAAATGTCAAATTTTGAAAATGAAATTGTTCAACAAAAAAGGTGCCTATCAGATGCAGTTTGAGCTCAGGAACACGATGGTGCCATTTATTTTACTGTACGATGTAAAAACGTACTGAAAAATGGTTTTGAAAAATATATACCTACTAGGTCGTTCAATAAGTAAGGTAAAATGTGCTATAGCTCATTAACCTTAACAAGTTAAACAAAATAAAATATATCATCTGAATCTACGAAAAATTTGATTCACATTTCACAACGTAACCAACCGTTTTTAGGAGTTTGAAAAATTGTTCGAACACGGTCGGTATGAAAACATTGATGCAGCACCGTTCCGTTTGGGAAGTGCCGTTTTGTCAGGTGAGCCTCGAGTTCATCTCAAAACCGGCGTCGGCAGCAGTACCCTGATGACGCCACATGACCATTAACAATGCTTAGTGGTGGGCAGTGGGTAGTGATACGGCAGTGTAAGAGACAAAATTCTACGGCAGGCAGACCTATGCTTGCAGGTCCCTCTGGACCTGGCACCATCCGTGAAATCAGCGAGGTGATGATGGAGACCCAAAGCATTCGCTTGACTTACTTCATTTACGGAGTGAAGTGTAAGTGTTCTGTCGAATCAGCTACAGGCATCATCAGATACGTTAAATATTTTCAAGGTCTGCCTGGGATGGATACCAAAAGAGTTTACTCAACAACAGAAGGATGCCTGACTAGGCATCAGTGCGGGGGCGGCTTTGCTCTTTCAGTACAGGAATGCTGGAGTATAGCCCTGATCTGGCGCCGTCCAGCTTCAATCTGTTCGGATTGCCGGAAGACGTTCTGTTTCTGGGAATAACTTTTTTACGGATGAGGCAATCAAGAAAATAAAAAGGCATGGTAAAAAACATCAATAAGGAGTTTTCCGAGCGGGTTTTCAGTGCCCGGTGGATTGCTGAGATAAGCACGTGTGCCTGAACGGTGATTGGAAGTAGGTGCAAGTTCTGAAGGCTGGGGTGGTTGACCGATGGGACCTGCTACCAAATGCTTATAGCCATTTTGAAGACAATATTTCAATTAACATATGTTGCAAGTTTCATGTCGTTACACCAAAGGTGGACTGAAATAAATGCGATTTTACCTTACTTATTGAACGACCTAGTAATTGTAAACTTTTGACAATAATGCAAATAACTTGGCTATTTTTGAAGATATTGGATCCAGCTTTAAAACTAAGCTCTTGAGAGCGTTTGCCGTAATTCAGTATGTTGCATCAAAATCGGCCGACATGACGTCACTCTGACGTCATTTCCGGCCAAACTATGGTAGCTAGAAAGTTGAAATTTTTAACACAAGGTGTCTAATTGATGCCGCTGAGGGTACTGCAAGTTTCGAGATGATCCGTCAAACGTGACGATCCCTCAAAGATATTGCCGAAAAACGGGAGGGGGCTCTGTAGAGCCCCCCCCCCCCCCAGTCATGCGCGGGTTAAACGTTGCGGAAGACATAATCCCAAAAAATCTCCAAATTCCAAAAACCTTTCGGATTTTGATTCCAATCCTTACACACGGCTGTGCAGTCTTAAACAAGTATTTGATTATAAAAGTTGTAAGGATTTCGTTTCATTCTCATAATAAGTAACTATTTGTCGCTTTCGGGCGCTGCGTGGATGGCGGAGCGATTTCGGGCGCCCCCCCCCCCCTCGGGATCCGCCAGTGATCGTAACGTTATGTAGTCGAATCCAGTTAATTCACTGTTTCTATCCTAAATGTGACCACCCGTCTTATGTCTAGTGTCACCCGTTACAAAAACACAGCTTTGTTTTTAAGACCGTTGTTAAAAGTTACATAAAAGTTGAATATAACCGACAAATAGAGCCACTGCTTCGTCGATTTCGCATTACAACTAGTTCCGTTGCAACACACCTAGTTCCGTTGCAAAGTAACTAGGTAGTTTGCAACGTACCTAGGTAGTTTGCATCCTAACTAGTTAGTTTGCAAACTAACTGGACGGTCAGTTAGTTTGCAACGGAACTAGTTTCGTTGCAAACTACCTGGCCGGTCAGGTAGTTTGCAACGAAACTAGTTGCGTTGCAAACTAACGGATTTCGCATACTAACTGTAACATACTAACTGTAACATATCGACTGGTTCGCCACAGGTAGGGAGCCTGCGTAGAAAAGACCATATAACCCTGGTTTATATGGGTCAACGCTCAACTGGTAGCCAGCTCAAACCCTGACTCTCCATGGAACGTTAAGCTTGGTACCTCGAAGAGCGTCGGCAACTCCAGACTCACAGCTAACTGATCATGTCTAGCCTATCGTATGTGTCCGTATGTCTTCGAGAGACAGCACCCTGGAGCTGGACTCAAAACTCCCGTGTGTAACCCTGTCAGATGACCGCTGATCTAACAGCCTCAGATTGATATCTCACTGTGACCGGCCGTCAGGTGAGCGTGGAGCACGAGCCCCGCCAGACGCGCAGCACGCTGAACATCACTGATGTGCGGGACACGGACAGCGGCAACTATAACTGTTCGGCCGACAACACGCGGCCGGCGTCTGTGCGCGTCTACGTCTCAGAAGGTGGGTGACGGGCGCCGCGGGGTCACCGGGTCACCGGGTCACTGCTGGGTCACCGGGGACAAAGGTGGGATACCGAGGTTACTGCGGGGTCACTGCAGGGTCATTAGTGGAACTTCTGGCCATATGGGTCACTGAGGTCACTGCACAGTCGCTAAGATCAACCGGTGATCATCAGAATCAGTGAATCTTAATCAGTGCTCCATTGGGTCACCAAGGTCACTAGTGGATCATTTGAGACTGCTGGGATCACTACTGTGTCACTACAGTGTCGTTGGTTTTTTGCTGCAATGGGCCTGAGAGAGTCCATTCACTTGTAAAATAAGTCACGGTACAAGTCTTCTCTGAAGTTAGTCCTGGTTCCTTTCCGAGGACGTAAACTAGAAAAAAACTGACGAACTTTGCTTTTTATCAAATATTCTGACCATGTACCAAATGAATTAAACCATGTTGAACTTATAATTCGTAAAAACATGCTTATGTCTACTCACCTGTTGGGTTATTTTGTTAATATGAATATTTTAGCAGCAAGTTAGAAATAGATACACAGATGTTGTGCATCCACAGAACTATATAGGGTTATGTATTCTATTGACTATGTAATGTATTGCAACAGAAATTACGTACCTGGCAGATTCATTCGCCGGCATTAATAAGCAAGCATTTAAAAACTGTTCATGTAAGCGGCGACAAAGCTCTAGACGGTGATTCAAAAATGAAAAACATAACAAAATGCTCATTTTCTTCACACCTGCTTTGATGCAAACTATGTGATAACAAGACATGGATGGCGACTATGTGATGGCAATGGCGATTGTCGCCGTCTCACTCATCAAATAGAAGACACATTCTTTCTCGAAACACCGCGAAAGTGGCAGCCATGAATAAAGCATAGCAGGATAGCATATATATATATAGCATATAGCATAGCATAAAGCATTAGGGTTGACACGAATCGCCATAAGAGGTCAAGAAGTCGACTGATTGCTGGCTTTGGTGATCTTGCTGGTTGGATTTGCTTACCCTGCATGTGATGATCAAGCATGACGAATGAAGAGAGCCTTCCCGCCTAAGCTGCCTGCTGCTGCACATGACGCCGCCAAAGCCTGCTGGGTAGTACCTACTGTCTCTGCTAGTCTGCTCCCCCGCCTGCATTTCCCAGCTCATCCCACGGCTCTGTGTGTTCTTGCCCAGTCTTTCCGGTCTTTCCACTTTTTCTTCGCCCCGGAGTGTTGCTTGCTTGTGTGGTGGCTGCTAACTGTGTCGGAATGTCGCGTGGCGTGCGTGGTGGGCGTGGCGGGCGGGGTGGTGGGCGTGGCGGGCATGGTGCTGGTGCTCCATCGCCTGGTGCGGAGATGTCCTCTGTTGCACCTGATGCTGCAGCGAGCGCTTCTGCTGTGACTGCTGCTTCGGCGGCTGGCACCCGCAGAGGACGCAGTGCTAAAGCTAAGGTCCCTGATGAGCAGTTATGTGGAACATGTGGCAAGGATGTTGAAGGTAGCTCTATTGGATGTGATGGATGCCAGGCCTGGGTTCACTGCACTGAGATGTGCTCCGGTCTCTCGTGTGATATGATACAGGCTATTGAAAAGTACGAAGGAGCTGGCATCATGTACATATGCACCAAATGTAGACTTGATTTTAGTCTCACTGCCTGGCATGGGGGCTCTCACGCGAACAGTACTGAGACTCAGCTGGTTGAACTGGTCAAACATCTGTCCCAACAGTTACATGGAATGAGCTCTGTCGTGCAGCAGTTGAAGGCGGAGATTGGCCTGATACGTGCCGGGCCTCCACCGCATCCGTCCTGGCCTAGCCTGTCTGCCTCCAATCCACCAGTGCCTGATGCTGCTGCCGCTCCCGGTGCTGCCCAACGTGAAGTCCCCAGACCACCAGCCAACCCTGATGTGCCTCCCGCCTCAGCCTCATCTGAGTACAGGAAAGTTGTTCGAGAGGAGCTGCGTGAGCTGCAGGAGCAGCAAAAGCGCAGGTCTTCCCTGGTCATTCGAGGCCTGGGGGCCCGCTCAGCTAATGCTGCTGTACAGGCTTTCGAACAGGTGACTGATTTCCTCATTCACCAGAAAGTTTCTCTGACTGATGTAGTCCGAATCCCCTCGGAAACTGACCTTTACAGAGGCAAAGTTTGTGATGATGATGTCCGGAAGCTCATACTCGACAGGGCCAAGCAGCTGAAAGACTCTGACCGTTTCGGCTCCGTCTTTATTCGCAGAGATCTAACTTACAAACAGAGATCGGAGCTCCGAGCTAAGCGTGCTGCTACTGAGACTGGCACTGCCTCCAACCCTCACCATACTGCTGATTCTAGGCGCGAGAGCAGAGTACCAGAACCAGCTGCCAACACGAGTGATCAACCAGCTCGTGTCAGGGACGGGAACCAGGACACCCAGGATGACAACCTCCCGGCCCCTGCTGCCCCGCCCTCTGATGACCACCCTAACAACTCCAACAACAATGATGTCCCTGACCCTGAGTCAAACGTGTAGCTTTGACTACCAGTTCATACAGCCGCAGCACATTCGTCCTTAACATAAGTCAGTCTAATGTGAACTCGCTAGTCCGTAAGCTGCCGGTGGTGCAAGATTTCATACTGTGTCACAGTGTCCATATCATGTGTATAACGGAATCTCATCTCCTCAGCTCTATGCCAGATTCATTTATCGACATTCCTGGCTTCAGAGTGGTCAGAAAAGATACTGAAGGCTCTTTTGCCAAGCACGGTGTTTGTATCTATGTCAAAAATTGCCTGAAGTTCGAACAAATTGAAACTGATTGTCCTAACACTGTCGCCATTGTATTGCCAGAGCTCAGTGTACATATTGTTGCAGTCTACCGCCCCCCGTCGTCGGAGCCTGAAGCCAATCAGCATCTCTTGGATTTTCTCATTTCTTTTTGTGCAGACCGTGAAGTCGTGCTCATGGGGGACTTCAATCTCCCGTCCCTCGCGTGGGATTCCAGCAGCCCCTCATCTCGCGCGTCAGGCTGTGACACTGATTTTTATGACACCTTCATGTCGCTTGGATTAACTCAATGGATCTGCCTCCCCACTTACCCCCGCTCTGGAAGCACACTCGATCTTGTGCTTACAACTGAAACTGACAGGATGGGTACTTCTTCGGTACTTCCGCCCCTGCCGGGCTGCGATCACTGCCCGGTGCTTTGTAACTATGTGTTTGACTATTCACCCCCAACGTCCCAATCTAGCACTCAGTTCAGGAAGTGGCACAGGGCGAAATTTGATCGCATCTCCCGCGAACTGAACGTTATTGACTGGAGCGCTGAATTTACAGGCTGCGATGTCAACCAGATGTACACCCGCTTCCTGGACAGACTGTCGCCTCTTATCGACGATTTTGTCCCTACAGGAACTTCCTCTGACAACACTCGTCCCCCATGGAGGACAAACCCCCCTGGCAGCCTCAGACACCGGAGGAGACACGCATGGGAGACGTACAAAAAGATGAGACTTACCCATGGCAGGCGATCTGCAGCGGCCATATCAGCACTCGATACTTTCTTCACCCTCAATCGCTCTCTGAAACGGTTTGCACTGGAGTCCCAGGCGTGTTACGAACAGAAACTGCTCCAGGAGTCTGCCTCTAACCCTAAGGCTCTGCATGCACATCTCAGGCGTAAAAAGGTAGGCTGCCCTGGCGTTGGTCCCTTACGACTTTGTAATGACACGCTTTCAGATGACCCTGCTACAATGGCTGAAGCCTTTGCTGAGGCCTTTGAGAGCGTCTTCGGCCGCGGTCCCCCCAACGCTAACCAGTCCCCTCACGAAACAGCGGACTCTGTTATGCCACCCGTTGACTTCTCTGTTGACGAGGTTCTTGCAGTGCTGCGATCACTGGACCCCCACTCAGCTGCTGGCCCAGACAACCTTCACCCATCGCTCTTACGAGCTTGTGCAAACAGCCTAGCATTTCCCTTGTTTGTTATTTTCAGACAGTCACTCAGAGAACGTCGCTTACCTGCTTCTTGGAAGATATCCGTCGTAATTCCTTTATTCAAGAAGGGTTCGAGGTATAACCCCCTGAACTATCGTCCCATCAGCTTGACTGCGGTGTCTTGCAAATGTCTAGAGCGCCTGATCTGCCAGCAGCTTACAACCTACCTGGAAGAAAACTCTATGCTGACAAATAACCAATTCGGTTTCAGAGCTGGGAGATCCACTCAGGATCAGCTGATCCTTGTATATGACGAGGTGTCTAAGTGGCTTGATGATGGCTGTGTTACTGACCTCGTGATGTTTGACTTTGCCAAAGCATTTGATGTTGTCTCTCACTCTATCCTTCTTCGCAAGCTTCGCATGATCGGCATTGCAGAGCCCCTCATCTACTGGATTGAAGATTTTCTGATTGGTCGATCTCTGTCTGTGTCAGTGAAAGGTGTACTGAGCAAACCTCGCCCCGTGTCCAGTGGGGTCCCACAGGGCTCGGTCCTTGGTCCGATTTTGTTTTTAGTTTTCATTAACCATATTGGTAGCAGTCTCGCATCTAGTCACAAGATTTTCGCTGACGATCTGAAGCTTTACATGAAAGTTGCCCACAGCTCAGCAAACGCATATGACCATGCCTCCTCGCTTTGTCAACAGGACATCACTGCCCTGCACCGTATTTCTTCGTCATGGGACCTTCGCCTGAACCGTGACAAATGTGTGGTCATACGTTTTCAGAGCAAGGCTCAATCTCAATCTCTTCCACCTCCAGTGTATGACATCGATAATTCCCCGATTCGAGTTGTCCCCTCCCATCCGGATCTCGGAGTACTGGTGGACTCGAGCCTCAAATTCCACGACCACATATCCGCTACTGTCCACAAGGCCGCAGGTCTTTCTCAAAACCTCCTGAGGAGCACGGTGTGCCGATCTCCGGACTTTATGCTGACACTTTTCCGTACTCACATAAGACCAGTTATCGAGTACTGCTCGTGTGTGTGGCACACTGGGTACCTGGGGGACCTGCGCGCTCTGGAGTCGGTCCAGCGTCGCTGGACCAAGCATATCGCTGGCCTGTCGAGTCTGGATTATCGGTCCCGGCTCTCATCGCTGAACTTGTACTCAACTCAAGGCAGACTGCTAAGGGCTGATATGATTCAGTACTGGAAGGTGTTCCATGACAAATGTGCGGTGTCCCCCGCTGACTTGTTCACTCTACCTCCTCAGTTAGGCATGCGCGGACATTGCTTTAAGATTTTCCATTCCCGCTCGCAGACTGATGTCAGGCGTAGGTCATTCTCGGTGCGCGGTGTGAGACTATGGAACTCCCTCCCGGAGCACGTCGTAATGGAACCTAACTACAAAACCTTTAAGGGTTTGCTGGCGGAAGCCCTAGGCGACGCTCTGTATGACTTTCACTAACCGCCTTGTTTTGTTCTCCGTCTTGCGAAATGCACTGAACCATGGACACATTTAAAGTAGCATTGACTTTGTCTTTCTCCTGCATCAATTATGTACAACATAACTACTCTTGTTTGCATCTCGAACCATGCCTGTTTTCGCGCAAACATATGTGCAGGCGCTCCACTCCGGTAGCAGCAACTACTGGTGCGCCTTGTGTCTGCGGGTTCCTACTGTATCCCTGCCTACTCCTTCCTGTCTGCAGACGTGAGATTGGGAACCCCACCAGGTGAGTGAACCAGGTGAGGAACAGACGTAATCGATGGGCCAATTTACATAGAGTCCAGCTGCTGCCCTGTGCCCATCCTTGTTCCAAATATCTAATGGCGCCTCCTGAAGACTACCTGGTATAGGCGAGTGCCCCTGGCAACATTGCGACAAACACCTTTATTGACAGTCATGAGTCAATGTCATTTTTCTGGGGTATGTCTTCTTTCCTAAGATTTTTGATGTAACAATTATTACATACAAGGTGTTCGTGAGAATCGTACAGTTCACCCGTTCGATGCGGAAATGTTCGTGCGTGCTCGTGATCGTTCACTCGTTGTCTTTCACCCGGAGGACCATAAAGTTATTGTTCATATAAGTAAAAGTCTATTCTTGAATGAAACGGAAACGATTAAAATGCTCAAAATACGGCGGTCACAAATGCGGTTCACTGAATCGTTCTCGTAGGGCCACGTCGGCCGCGTCGTACGTAAGGCCACGTCGGCCACGTCGTGCACCGGGCCGTCGCGCACCGGTGGAGTCCCGTCGAAGACTGTCAGGCCCCCGTCCCGTCTCAGCCCTCGTGGTACGCACAACACGTGGGCATGAGAACCAGGACAGGGGCCAGATGACACATATGTGAGCGGCGTGGCGCGGCGGACCGACCGCCGCGCTCCGAGCGCCGGCCGTCTTTGCGAAGATATCAAAAATGCCTATTTGCTCGCTAACATAGCCGGCCCGGTTTTTCGCGATCATCCGCGGAAAATCCAACAACTAGCGAGCAATCGTTCAAGCGTCCCGTACGCACGCACACACTCGTAACGATCCGTTCAACATGCGCGATATACATACACTCACAGACAATGCACATTACGCACTACACAATGTCTGACTGAGGCAGGCATTATCCCCGCCAACAATCACCCAGTCATAAAACTGGTGACGGCGCGTTCTCGGCAGCCGGGTGCCGTCACACACTGACGCATGTCGTAAACTACACACGCTGGGCCGAGAGGCATCGGCGGCAGTGACATTGCCGTCACATGGCCGACACACAACAAACACCCATCACACAAAGTACAACACGACACACATTACGTTACCGAAGCGGCGAAGCGAACAAACGCGGACGTACAATAGCACTAACACGGTGCGTATCATAAACTAACATAACACTGCTAAGGTCGTAAACTACTAGCGCGTCCAAGAACTGTCACACGGCTCACAGCTGATAGCTAATGGCTGAACAGTGAACACTCAACACAAATGACCATTCGCAGCGGACAGAATGAGCGGCTCACTCTCTCACGCACACACACACACGTTAGCACCGCGAATGGTGGGCGCAGGAAACACTAATAAACGCTCCGATCTCCTCCACACTGCTCGCCGGCGGCACAGTGCGGTCGTAGACGACTCACTTTAGCCGTCCCACGTGCGCGCACATTATCTCTCCGAGTCCATTTACTGTCCGTCGCCGTCGCACTCAAGACGGCAGAGACGAGAGACAGGCCGCCTGTACTGGCCGGTATCAGTCGTCACGTCAACGGCGGGAATACGACCGCCCACACCAGGGTCACACACTCCGCTCATCTCACCGACCAATGTCCACGTGGTACGTTTACGTCGGTCAGTCGCACTAGTTCGCCAACCCCGACCTCGGTCGTGTCCATGATCGACATGCAGTGTGCGGTCGGCGTGCGCGGGGAGACACTCTCGCCGCCGGCGTCGCCAGGAGCGATCCTGCGGCTGCGTGTTCTTCCGCTTCCAGCGACGGCCACCGACTCTGAGCAGGCCGCCGGAGTCCATGAGGCAGGACGAAAAGCCACTGCCGTTTACGACCGGCTCCGCTCGCTCGGTGACGCACGCCGTCACCCTCGTCTCGTCGCCGGAGGGGGCGGCCGGGCCGGACCGCGCAGCTGGACCTCGTATCCACGGTCCGCCGGGGGCGAGGTCCGTCCCCGGGCCGCCTCTGCTGAAGATGTCGGCCGGGCCCGGCGGCTCGGCTGCGTGACACCACTGGGTCGTCTCTGATGATTCCTGGGTGTGAAGGTCAGCAACTGCACTCGTTTTATCACTGACACGAACGTGATTGACAACGTGTTCACCATCGAGCACCGAGCGTTCCGACGCCCGCCCGGTCACCGTCCATCCCAACAGCGTCCTTACGGCGCACAGCGTTCCCGTCGGTCCCTCGATCACTTCCCGCGGCACAATAAGTTCGATGACGTCGGTTCCCAGGAGCACCTCCACTGGGCCGTGGGTGGCGCTGGGGAGATCCAGGTCGGCAAGGTGCGGCCATTTCTCCTTTGCTACTGTGCAGTCCATGGCCTTGGCTGACACGTTTAACGTCGGCGTCGTTTGGGCGTTTCGTATACGGTGTGCCCTGCCGTCGCCGCCCACAGCCTCGACGGCGAAGGATACGCGTCGTGACGTCGTCGTTTGGGTCCCACCCAGTGTACTCAGCACCAATTTGTCGGTGGGCCCCGAGATGCCGAGTCGGTCACACAGGTCGTCTTTGCGAAGATATCAAAAATGCCTATTTGCTCGCTAACAACAAGGTTTCAGAGTTAACACAAGGTTTCAGAGAACAGCATCCCTATACAATTGTCACGCACCGTCTCCTCCCTTCGTGAGCATTTCAACTGCACGCCCGACGCCGTCTCTGTAACAAGCACTCAGTCTGAACCGCCGAGTGGTGCGATCAATATCGCGTGTCTCCGGTCAACCTCAGAGACCCGCTTCCCTCCTCAGCCGGAAAGGTAGCGCACACTCACGGCTAAAAAGCATATTACTAAAACAACGACTTGTTATAAAAATAGAGAATGTGTCGTTCACAGAACAGCCTTCGAGCATGAAAGAACGGCACTGTTGGCGTGCGGGCCTAATGGCTTCAGCGACATGCGATGGAATGAGGTGAACACGGGAAACACTTGGATTGTTTAAATTATTTGAAACTTCTATGCAAGGTTGATTGCTTTTACTTCGTAGAACTATTTCAATATACGTCTTCGGATTGATTGGCACCAGTTGCCAGTGTTGCCAGTTGTCACACACAAATTGATCCGGTAAGAAGAGAGACTGGAAGGGACGTTGATGGTGTTTCTGTTTTTCCCTCCTAATTTGAAACTTTGAAACTTTCAGTCATATGAACATTGCCCTATCTCCGTGCTGTCTCCTGTCTGTGAACTGCCGTGGTGGGTCAGGCGACGTCTCTCGAGTCCTTGTCTCCCGTTACCATGGTCACCGTTTCCTACTGCTGTTAAGGTCTCCTGCTACACAGTAACCTTTTCACTGTATCCTAATCCTATCGCCGCCTCCTGTAGCCGTTTCCCGTCATCGTCTCTAACCTATCCTATCGCCATCTCCTGACACCCTTTCCCGTCATTGTCTCCTAGATACATTATCGCCGCCTCCTGTCGCCGTTTCCCGTCATTGTCTCCCGTCGCCGCCCTTCGTCGCCGCCTCCTGCCGTCGTTCTCCGTCGCCGCCTCCTGGCACCGGCGACGCCGTGCGGCTCGATTCCAATCAAGCCGGCTGGGTTGGCCAGATTCCGATCGGATTTACCGTAATACCTGGCAGCGGCCCGGCGCGGTGTCGGCCGATGTCGCCTTATCCCAACACCGTCACTGACACCCGGCACCCGATACCGACACCCGATATTGATACCGTCTGAGGACACTGAGACCGTCTGAGGTCACTGACACCTAATGAAGAGAACACTGAGACCCATTGAGAACACCGGATAGGAACACTGACACCTAATGAAGACAATGACACCGTCTGGGGACACTGACACTGAAACTGACACTGACACCCCCGCCGTGTGTCCCGCAGGTGACAAGATGGCCGCCATCCAGCGGCGTAACGGCGGCAGCGCGGCCTCCTGGCTGGGCGGCACGGTCACGCTGGCCGTGATGCTGGCGCTGCTCGTGCAGACGGTGCGGTGAAACAGGCGCGGTCGCTGGCCGTGCCGCCGACGCGCCGCTAACGCCGCCGCCGACGCGCCGCAGGAGCCGGCGCCGGCGGTCGAACTGAGCGCGCGGGACAGCGTGTGAGGCGCGGCCGCGGCGGCCGCAGCCCGCCCGCGGCCCTGCACGGACGGCAGGCGGCCGCGCAGGCACGTGTGACGTGTGTAGACTGCAGGTGATGTGTGAAGACACTGGGTGATGTGTGTGTGTAGACTGAGTGAGGTGTGAAATCATGGGTGCGTGGTTTGGGCAGTGCTTTGAAGTTTGAACTGAGGCCGAGCAGTCAATGCGCACAGAGGACCCCTTGGCGTCTCAGTGGCGATACGGACGCAGATATGCGCAGGGGAGTGCAGGACCAGCCATCGACAGTGGTCTCGCCGTGTCGCTGGTCTGGTCAGCGTGGGGAGCAGACCCGTATAGCTCCTCCGGTGAAAGGACGGTGGACAGCCGCCACATCCAGGCCGCTCCCGGCAGCCCGATAGGCCGCTCCCGACAGCCCGCGCTGCTCAATTCTGACCTGGCGCGGTGGGAGGAGGCTCGCCACCGGGTCTCTGACCATCGAGGCGCCGCGCCGGCCGAGCTCTGAAATGTGACCGAGGCTGTCGCTGAAGAGTGTTTCCTGAAGTGGCATCGTTTTCGTTTCGTCCTGATTATATGTTGATATCGTGTGTCTTCATTAGACGTCGCCTGTTTCGATCTGTTCGGACTGCGTGTGTTTACCGGCACAGTGTCTGTTAGGTTGCGGAGCCCGGTGCCGATTTGGCTACATTAGCTGTGTTGTGGCCTCGTGTGAGGGTCGCCAGTCACCGGGGTTTGCTAATGTCCCCGCTCGCATGTCGCTCGGCTCGGCCCGAGTATTGCCCTGCATGTTGACCGCACCCTCACGGTATTATGATTGTTCGGCCCGGCTCGGCGCTCGCGTGGCCGCGCTCGCCATGGCGGCGGCACGCTGTGCTGTGGTTGAGTGAGCCGCGCCGTTCAATTGTCGGTCACGACAGCCGGCCGCCGGTCAGCTGTGATGGTGTCGGTGGCGGCGGGCGGCGGCTCACGGTGACCTGAGGTCAGTTCGTGACCGGTCGACGGTCGACGCTATGTCTTGTCACCACACTGTGATTACCTGCAGACAGCCGCAAACCACATCGGGCGAACCTACAAATATTTGCATCGTTGGTAGAGCGAGTATCATGCTGCTTCACGACAGGCGAGAGTGAAAACGATCGCAGGCGCGGAATTATCGGTTCGTTTCTTTGGTGAAGCCGTGTTCGTTCCCGGTGAATGCGACGGATGTCGGTAGTTTCCGGTGGCAATCGTTTGTTGCGTCTCGCCGCCAGTCACCAGTTGTCGTTGAAAAGAACGCTGTCCGATAGGGACAAATCACGTGGCTCGAAATGCTCCAAGTGTGGTGTGTGCTGGACAAGAGAACTGGAGTGCTTGTACAGTGTGATTTTACTTGAATGAGTCGATAACATCATGTTTAAGAGTTGGGCATCACTGTTATTCACTGTCCATAAGAGTTTTATCACGAGTTCAGTATAAATGTATGAAAATATACTATTCGGGTTGTATTTTGATTAGCTTGACAGATTAGGACAGACGAAGCGTACCTATTTCTCAAAGAAAGCAAAATAGAAAATAACCTATAATGATAGGTTTCTTGACTAAACTTAAGTGACTAAACTTGACTAAACTTCTGATTGTTATTTGCCGCCGCCGACCGGGACTGACCTTCAGGTCACTTGATTGCGACGATCCACGCCTGTGTGGCATAACGGCACTGTTCAACAGGCAGTCCGTGCTGAATGTCATCGGCTGCTACTTGCCGTTTTGGGACGGGTCCAGCGGCAACTCTGATGAGTACGACATTGTCACAGCCAAGTTGGACGCCTTGATTGCTGCGCAGCGCCCCTCTGCCCCCGTAGTCTTAGTTGGAGATTTCAACTGTGCACTACCGAGAATGACAGCGGCGCAACGCCCATCACAGTGGCATCGGCTCAAGGGCTTCACTCGACACAGCGTCGCTATGCAGGACCTACTGGACCATAACGAGCTTGTTGTAGCAGAATTTCTATTCCCCCAGCCGATGGACTTCACTTACTCGCGAGGTGCCTGCCAGAGTCATATAGATCATATAGCCGTGCCGTGTGATCTGCTCCCGGGCATTACTGACTGCCAAATTCTGCCTCTGCACGCTGAGAATCTCAGTCCGCACCAGCCTCTCGTCTGCCGTGTTTTGGTGTCCGCTGCAGCACCACAGGAGACATCAGGTACCGCCGACACCACCCGCAGCACTTGACACAGAAGTTATCTGTTGGGACCGCGCCGACAGAATAGAAACTTACAGACGAACGCTGGGTGCCCTGCTCGATAGGAATCTATCTGTATGTGGCGAGTCTCTGGATGCTCTGAATGCGACAATAACTCACTGCATACTCACAGCTGCTAGAGCGGCCGGTTGCACCAGGAAACAGCACCGACCCAAGCCCTGGTGGACTCCGGACACAGCGGCCGCGCGCAACCGCGTCCGTTTTTGGCTCCACATCTGGACCAGTTGTGGACGACCACTCGGTTCCACCGTCCACTGCTGCTATCGGACTGCACGGCGGGAATACCGGAGGGCGCGTCGCGCAGCAGCTCTGGCCCCTGTTCAGAAAGAAGCCCGGCTGCTTCATCAACTTCGAAAAGATGGCAACGTGAGCGGATTCTGGCGCCGTGTCAAGAGAGTCCGCCGAGGCGAGGTATCCAGTGGGACAACGCGTACGGCCTCAGAGTTTGCTACTCATTTTGAGGCGGTTCACAGGGACGACTTCACGCTGCTAGATGCCGATCAGTCTCGGATTGCCGCTGCAGTTGAAGAAAGAGCACAGCTCTGCCTGTCGGCGGCTCGTCCTCGCACCGTCACTCCCGACCAAGTCGCCGGCCTGCTCAGACGCCTTCTGCCCGGTAAGGCGCCGGGCGCGGATGGAGTGACAGGGGAACACCTTATTCACGGCTGCTCACCTGCGTTGCTGACCGCCCTGGCTCGCCTTATGTCGGCCTGTTTTACTACATGTGACGTTCCGGACGCGTTCTCCGAGAGCGTCATTATACCTCTGCTGAAAAAATCGCAGCTCGATCCAAACAACTTGGACAATTACCGGCCCATCAGCCTGACGACGTGTACCTCCAAGCTGCTGGAGATGCTGGTACTGGACGAGCTAGACGGCAGCTTCAGGCCCCATGGGCTTCAACTCGGGTTCGCCACGCAGCGCGGCACCAGCGAGGCCTCACTTCTTGCCAGTGAGACCATCCAATGGAACCGGCATCACGGCTTACCTGTCTATGCTGCGAACCTGGACGCCAGGAAATGTTTCGATAAGATCTGGCACGACGGGCTTTTTATGCGCTTAGCCTCGTACCTCAGCCCCAGCTCATGGCTGCTGATGCTGACTTGGTATCGTCAACTCACAGCCCGCGTGACATTTGCTGGCTCCACGTCCAGAGCCTTCCGTGTCTGCCGCGGCACCAGGCAGGGCGCTATCCTGTCACCAATGTTCGCGAACGCTTTCCTGCGTCCTCTTGTGACAGCACTGGACGCGAGCGACCTCGGCGCGGACATATATGGTCATCATGCGCCGGCTGTATGCTACGCTGATGACCTGCTCCTCCTAGCTACAAATGCTAAAAACCTTGATACCATGCTGAAGCTGGTTGGCGACTTTGCTCAGCGCTGGAGGCTAGAGTTCGTCCACCCAGAGCCAGCCAAAACTAAGAGCCACTGCATTATCTTCGGTCAAGAGCTACTAGCCCAAGAGCCCAGATGGAGTCTGTCGGGTCAGAGGCTGAGAAACCACCAACAGTCTGAACATCTCGGCGTCTTACTGGACAGCAGCCTGTCGGCCGCACCGCATGTCCGACACCGCACGGCAAGAGCGCGGGCTAGCCTGTACAGCCTTGCGCCTGCCGGCATGCTGGCATCTGGGCTCTGTCCAGCAGATAAATGTTTTCTCTGGAAGACTGTGGTTCAGCCAGCACTGACGTACGGCTGTTCGTCCGCTCCACTCAACTCAGCTGACATCGAAGAGCTGCACGCCACTCAGACAGCGACCCTCAAGACGGCGCTGGGGCTGCCTCGCCGCGCCCACCACTCAGCGCTCCTCGCTGCTGCCGGTATCGCCCCAGCACATGAGCTGATTCGGTCGGCATGCTTCCGGGCTGCAAGTGGTGCTCTTCGGTCCGAACACCGTCTCCAGCAGGCATTCCTCTCGGGCCTGACGAAGTTGGCCATGTGCCCCGACTTGCTTGGCGACTCTCTTCTTCTCCAACTGTCCCGCATGTGCGGAAACGACTTCTCTGCCGTGCTCGAGGCAGCTGCCGGACGGTCGTGCAGTCACAGGGTGACGCCATCGCGCGCCCCAGACGGACTGGCAGATAGCATCCGCTTCTTGATGAGGGACAACAGCCAAGCTTCGCGTCGCCTACTACGACTGCTGACATGCTACGTCCCACCGGGGGCCGTGGCCCCTGTGACCTAAGCTCCGTGCTACTGCTGACACATGACGGTTTTGTCATTTCTGATGATTGTTTGTTATCAGCTGTCGGGAATTTGCCAATGTTTGGTGCAAAATAAATATGAATGAATGAATGAATAGAAGTGCTAAGAGATGGGATGAAGCGCACAGTCCCGTGCCGCAAGTAACTGATACTTTTACGTGTTGGCAGCATCACGATGGCGAAGATAATCATGAGAATCATGAGAATCATGTAGGTAAGTTCTGGGTAGGTCAGTGCCCAGTGGTGGTGCACAACCCTAGGACGCGCCCGTTCCCTCCGGAGTTCAGTCCATAGTCCGCGACGGCCATTGTATGACTCTCTCTTTCTGGATGCAGGCCGCACGCCCTTGAAGACGTATCTGTCCAACGGTCCGCGATGACCGTGGCGGTCGGCCGCCACCAGCCGACCATGGAGCTGCCGCGCCTGACAGGCAATAATCGTAAACCAGAAGTAAACCTGTCCCCGATAGCCGCTCCAGCCGACTGCTCTGCGCCGACCGTTCGGCCACCACCGGCCGACCGAAACGGTTCGAAGTAACACACCCGCTAAAACGGTCCAGACGCAGAAACACACAGGCTCCAAACTATCCAGTTACAGAAACACAACCGCTCTAGACGGTTCAGCATGAGACCGCACCCGAAAAACGGTCGTGTCGCAGAAACACACCCACTCAAAACGGTTCCTTTACAAATTATTCCCAGATTTCCATGTCCCTTCTCCCAGTTTCACCGTCCTGCTACAAACTAGTTCTGCATATATATTCGTAAATCTCACTCCCTGAATTTGACCATACAAGGTATATGATCCGACCAAGCGTAGTGTTTTAAATTCGGATGGCAAAAGTACGGTCAACGGTGCATCCAGCCAATAAGTCCTAGACACCAAATTTCTTTCAAGCTATCACAGCCTGCCTGATAAATGCAAGACCTGCTGAACTGTGTCACAATCGCAGAAAACCACGCCGAAAAACACGCCATTTATCTTGCGCAGTCAAATCAGATTAAAGCCAGGACTTTGAATTAAAATGAGCTGAAATCATTTGACCATCTGGTCTACTTTCTGCAATTTAAATAGCGTTTCCTATTGGTTCGAATCGTTTCCCCCGGAGCCTTCCGCGCCCGTTGCTGGGTGTCGTTTGGAGCCGCGGAGTGCCCTTCAGGAAGCGCCCAGTGTTTCCTTCAGCCAGCCGAAGTCGGCAACTAATATCTAACGGGGTGCCTGTTTGGACCAGACTTGTGACAAGTTGCCCAACTATCTGAGAGAGAACCGCGAATAATACCGCGGCAGGCAGATTTTCGGGCGCCATCACCCCTTCGTAGCGTTGCTCTGGTGGCGTATAAGCTCTGCAGTAGACCGTACAGAGCAGAGTGGTCTGCATTACGCAGAAAACGAAACCATATCCGAACAACGCACTCACACTGGTATCAACACTTACTGTCATCTAAAACACGCATTGCAATATAGTCAATGAGCGCATACGTGTAAAATAGATTTTTAGAAGTCACTAATTGATGGTGACAGCCGTTTCCTATGCACATGGTAACACAGCAAACCGGTTGGGCCATTCGAACATCGCGGATGTAGCGTGAGTATGACCTGAAGGCATGCAGTTAAAATATATCGCATATTCAGTTAATGCCGCGTCGGCCAGCCCACATAGGTAGGCAGAAAGGTATCGTGTCTATAGGTCCAATCATTTCGTGACGCGCAAGAGCGGCATTGCACGCGATATTGTGCGAATACGAGTCATCTTCAGAAAGTCCCTGTCTGAATAGACTGAATATGTGAAGGTATAGGTGACATATAATGCGACGTGATGTTGATTAAAGGCTTCTCATAGGATACATTATTTATATATGTAATAATAAATAGCATTCAGTGATCATCTCACATCTGTATAATGTACTGTAACTATCGTATAGGAAACATAGGTTGCTGGAACATTACATACTTGGACTCTTGCTTTAAGCTCTAGGTATTTTCAGTCTTCTTAGTGCTTGTGCAAGGAGCATTTGTACTTTAAAATATGTACTTT